GCTCTCTAAACAGAGAACTCAAATAGGAAAATCTAGGCATGTCTCTAGACTAGGTTACTACAGGAGGAATTGGCTGTGATATCAAGATACCATATAGTCTAAATTTCCCGCAGATCGCTAAGAACATGCAAGTAATGGCAAAAAATTACTCCATATCCTCTCCCGACAAAGTAAAAATTTCTAGAATTTTGAACAAACTCATCTTTTTATCAATTGTAAGATGCTAGATTATTAAAAAAGCAGCTGTGTTCTCACTGCTACAATGAGCATTTCATTGAAGCAAACAAGTCAGGGCGCGTAGTCAGTTCTGGTGCAATTCGTGAATGCGACGCTCCCGTTGTCATTGGGAAAGCAAGACTGAATCATATTGTAGTCCAAATTGTAGTAAGAGACAGTAAGCTTTCTCGCTTTAAGTGAAAAATTGATGAAAACTATGAACATTACACCAGAAGACTATCGTGATCGTTCCAGTGGGCAGGGGGCGAAAGAGAAAGAAATCGGTAGACAGAAAACTCACATCGGTATTTAAGGGCAATACTACAAACCAAAGCCAAAGTAGGGAGCACCTCTGGCTGAGGTGGGTCACGTTTGTGTATAAAACTTTTTCACATAAATTTAACAAGGGTTCTTCACTCAGTAAAACGACTACTGGAAATTGTCGGCAGTTGACAAGTTATGTTCTGCCATGAGCACAAATGCATGGCTCACTGTTTGCAGCAGTCGCAAGTGCAAGTAGCATGCCAACTCATAATGGTGATTAATGCTAATCAATGCGTGTCCCAAACCATCACAGTTCCTTCTTCTTCTTTTGAGTCTCGGCCTCGATGCTGGTTATGGTTGCAGATACGGAAAACGGTAGAAGAGGGACCCGCTTCACTTATCCCCATGCATTTCTTGGTGCACGCAAGAGTTGGCAGCCTGCTGCTGGCCAGCCGGTAGGAAAGGGTACAGTTACCGGATTGTAAGTCCTGGTTGTCAAGATGGCCTCAATATTGCGTAAGGGCACAAGTGTTTTTGGATGTTGTCGATCTTTCACCTGTAAGAGAGCAGAAAACATCTGCTTCAGATCTTGTTTTTATATTAATCGATCCACCCACTGATTGTTCATCCGACGCAAATGAGACAGGAACGAGACTAAAGTTAGGATTACAAGCTAACCGAGTCCAGGTCACCCACTTACCATTTCATTCACACATTTAGCTGC